TGAACGATTAAACAAACTCAAATGGGTCGTTCATGATTAGCGAACGAAATGAAAAAACGTGCCCTTCTATAAAAAGGTATAAGTTTTCTTTAAAAGTCTGTATGTTTGTATGCCTAGGGAGAAGAGACTGCTTCTCCTGGCTTTCATCCTCTCTACAGTTTACTCCACTAAACACAATATTTTGTTAAACACAGAATAGAATAATTGATTTAAAAACTAAGAATCTGAATTTATAAAACTGTAAACAGAAGTCAGAACTTTTGGGGTTTGAATCTCTGAATTGAATCTCCATGTGATGCAGGCAGCAGACCTACGGATTAACTTAATTCCTGAGGTGTTCATACCCAATTATTAAAGGATATGTAAACTTTAACAAAGGATCAAGTATTGATCCTAAAATTTAAAAGTGTAACATTTAATATCGAAATGAATCATCGTTCAATATTATTTATATATCCCACAAATTCACACAGCTCTGAACACAAATTGACAGGTTAAAAATCAAAAACGACATGATTGTAAGCAAAATTTACAATAAATAACCTGGAATGTTCGTACAGAGCTTCATTAAAAGGGATAAAACAAGATGTAAGAAAGTGTTTATATTTTCTGCTTTGCAAAATCCGAATATGTTTGCCAATAGAGTAAACAAATTTATAAACCTTGTTCAGAGTTCAGATCAAGAAAAAATCCTGTGACAAATAAACAACAAAAAAACAATAGAATTTTGCAGAATTACCAAAAAATGTAGAAATAAACTAAACTTAAGTTTTTATAAAAACAATTTGCAACCAGATAGGTTTACAGTGAGACGTATACAACGTACTGTGGAAAGGGAAGGCGACTGTTATGATTTAAATAGTCCAACAAACATGAATCACGGCAATTGTGCAGTGTATACTTTACACACAGGCTCCGAGATAAGGGGAAGGGTGGTAAAGACGACATTGCGCGGGATACAAGTGGAAGGTAGATTTATGTATTGTACAGGGTGTCCCACGAAACATGAGATTTGGTAAATAGTTTAAATTGTACTCTTTCATAACTTGATAAGTTGTTTGATACTAAAGAGACTAATATAACATTTATTATATGACAGTTACATTATAGTAACATTGATTTTACAGTAAAATATGTATGAGTTAAACATTAAAAAAAAAATAAACTGCAAAACGTCTTTTATATCTAATACAGTATGTGTAAGAAGACATTGAAAACTATTCACCAACTGTCATGTTTCGTGGGACACCCTGTACTAGAATATAGAACCGTGGGACACCCTGTACTAGAATATAGAACCTTGGGACACCCTGTAGTAGAATATAGAACCATTTTACTTAATAATTTGATTTTCAAGTTTCGGGTAAAAAAGATTTCCTTTAAAACAACGTGAAATACAAGATTGAAAAAATGTAGTTTTTATTTTCTACTGTTTTATGGTCTCCACTGTATTATAACTGTATTTACTTACATGGAGTGAATTGTAGATTCTGAAACTCTTCGCTTCAGTCTCAGGCTCGGGACTGAAGATCGTTCGCGATCAGCAAAATTGATCTTACGCCTGTGAAGATAGATTAATTGCTTTACTAATTTTCAACATCATATCAGAATACTTTAGAATTATTCACAACCATAGATTGTAAACCTTGTACAAATAGTTTTTGACTTAACAGACAAGGCAAGTAATGTCGTCTTCGTAGTTTGGATTTATAACCTTTTTAACCTAAACCGTGCTTAATCCCGGATCAAAAAGCACATGGTGCTTTTATACATTAAAAAGTAGAATAACAAAAGTAACTTATGTCTTAGTCTGTAGGAAACTTAAAATTCCTTTGGCTGTTTGCCTATAACGAAATAATTATGTCAGGAAGACGACATCCTATCTAATCTTTACCTGGTATTCTTGGGGATTTTCTCATCCTCCCACCACTCTAAATTCTTTCTCAGTTTTTTCCTACGCTGCTCGTACTTTCTAGTAGTAAAATATGTCGGTAAACTTTTCTCTCTCAAGTTCTCAACATACAGTTGTCGTGAGTAAAGTGGGAAAGGAAAAATATATCAAATCAACTGAATAAATTAGAACTATTAAAATCGTTTTGCATAGTGTAAAAAAGGCAAATGTTAATATTAAAAATTTGCTTTTCTTTGAGGGGAGGGTTAATTTGACTCTTTTACATAACTCATAGCCCTCCTTTTAGAACTAAAACTGGGCTTTTATACTAACTGCCTGAGTCCTAGTTGAATTAGAGTTATACCTGATAGAATTAATCCTTTTTGAATTAGAGTTATACCTGATAGGATTAATCCTTGTTGAATTAGAGTTATATACCTGATAGGATTAATTCTTGTTGAATTAGAGTTATACCTGATAGGATTAATCCTTGTTAAATTAGAGTTACACCTGATAGGATTAATCCTTGTTGAATTAGAGTTATACCTGATAGGATTAATCCTTGTTAAATTAGAGTTATACCTGATAGGATTAATCCTTGTTAAATTAGAGTTATACCTGATAGGATTAATCCTTGTTGAATTAGAGTTATATACCTGATAGGATTAATCCTTGTTGAATTAGAGTTATACCTGATAGGATTAATCCTTGTTGAATTAGAGTTATACCTGATAGGATTAATCCTTGTTGAATTAGAGTTATACCTGATAGGATTAATCCTTGTTGAATTAGAGTTATATACCTGATAGGATTTATCCTTGTTGAATTAGAGTTATACCTGATAGGATTAATCCTTGTTGAATTAGAGTTATACCTGATAGGATTAATCCTTGTTGAATTAGAGTTATACCTGATAGGATTAATCCTTGTTAAATTAGAGTTATACCTGATAGGATGAATATACCTGATAGGATGAATATACCTGATAGGATTAATTTACCTGATAGGATTAATATACCTGATAGGATGAATATACCTGATAGGATTAATATACCTGATAGGATGAATATACCTGATAGGATGAATATACCTGAAAGGATTAATATACCTGATAGGATGAATATACCTGATAGGATTAATATACCTGATAGGATTAATATACCTGATAGGATTAATAAGATTAAGAGCTTTGTCTGCTAATTTCTTCCCTCTCTCTCCAACCCTTTTCTTGTGGTTTTGGAACTCAGGGGTCTGGCTTCTACTTTTCAGAATACCCTTCGACGGAGCTGGAGTCCTGAAAGCAAGTTTTTTAATAAGAAATTATATTTTTTTTTAAATCAAAGATTCAAAACAAGTTCCATGGACATTCTTCAAAGCTAGTGTGAATCGTTGATAGGACTATTTAAAAATCTTTAAATATTACTTATTTTAAGATCGGTGAAATTGAATCGTTTTGTTCGTAATCTAATGACTACATTTTTTATCTTAAAGGTAAATATTGAAGAAAGTGGTTACTGGTTAGCATTTATTATTATTCGATGTAAACAAACAAAAATACCATATTGTCTCTTTTTTGGTTTAAAATTAGAGAAGGATTTTAAAGTCCTTCTTGTATTTAATAACTTTTTCCCTATGTTAAGATTGAATTGACTGACTAGAGTTTTTCCCATTTGTTGTCATTGTTTTTTTCTTTAAAAGAAGCAAATGCCATAAAAAGTACCACCATAAAAAACTTACAATGTAAGATTGGTTTGAAACATATCCTCCTTTAGGTATTCAGGTGTTGGGGGACTGGTCACTAAATTAGACCTAAAAATTAAACTTTAAGAATACATTTAAAACCAATTATTAGTAAGGTCTAAACCAGATCAAAGTAGTCTGCATGTGTTCATGGAACTTTCATAAATTTTAATCCATTGAGAAAAATCACAGGTTCAAGGGAAAGTTTCCATTGAGTTCATTCAAAAGTTTTAACCTTTGCATACTTACAAATTCTTTTTATATGAATATTTACAGATAAATAAATGTACTAAAAGTTTTTTTAATGATAGTTTTAAGTTTGCTTACAGAAAATTTTAGAAATTAAAAGAAAGAAGAGAAAAAATTACAAGGAAAACAATAATATGATTTATATTGAATAAAACACTATACACTAATTGAAATTCCAATATCACCAATAATTGTGAAAAGTACGTTTTCAAAATGCATTCGAAAATCAATAAAAGTTTTTTATACAAAGAGGAACTGATTACCAGACACACATCTTACTTTTAAAATCTGTATAGCTTTGCAACCTGCTAATGTACCCGGTGTCTCTGAAAAAAGCGGGTTCAGCTTTTTCATCCGCTAAATGTCGTTTTATTCTACTAAAACTGTTCTTGAAAGGTCTGTACAATGCCTACAAATGTATTTTGTCCCTTTTCTGAATATTTGCAAAAAAAAATTAATCTTTGTTGTAAACCCCGAGTTTAATTTGGTCTACATCAGAATTTAACGCAATAATTAACTCTCTTAGTTCATATTTATTAATTCAAGTTTATTAATAATTGTATATTTATATTTAGGAGATTAGTATTCAGCACTCAGATCCACCTCTGTATCAAACAACAGCAGGAGTTCCTCCCTTCTCAACATCAGCAAGGATATGTGAGTCAACATTTCCATCTCCGCCCTCAGAAAATGTTCCTCTCTAGATATCCCCCTATGCCCGGGNACATACTTGCTTATAGGAACTTCTAGTAAAACAAAAATAGTTTTAATTTGATCAAATTTTAGGTTTAAATTCCTCCTACATATGTCTTTATATTTCTTAAACGATTATTTTTGCCTGGATGAAATAAAATTAACTGTTTTGTATACCTTTAAAAAAATGTCTATATAGAGTGAAATTACAAAATATCTGAAGGAAATTTGCAATCATATATAATTTAAAATGTTCATATGATATATATGCTATGATTTGAGAATATATCCTCTCAGTAAAATCAACAAGAAATATTTGAAGAAAATCCAACAACGATTTTTCTGCTTTTGATATCTTCTATTTGCTAAATGTTTTCATTTGGTGATTTGCAAAGGAGGAAATTGTCGGCGCTTTATGCCACTTTCAATGTAGAGGGAAGGGTGCCAATTCCCCCCCCCCCCTTCCCCCAGCCTTTTATACTAGAGATTATAAAAACACTTGAGGTAATAAATATTTTCAAGAAAATAAATATCTTCCTGCTTTAGTATTTTTGCTTTAAGCAAGAACATTTTTATTTTAACTCAAATAAAATGTCCTCTTGCAATCAAAAAAGTTTAACCCTATTCCTGCTGGGGTGCTTGAAAACCAGGATACGCTGTAAATCCAATGTTTGATTCCAAATATGACAAATTTTACATCAGTGCAAATGTCTAAAAAATAATGAAATATACCTTTTTAAAAGTCCTTGACCATGCCATTTCAAATATGCAAAAAAATTGCAAAATTTAAATAATCTGACTGAGGTGTAATTAAGAAAAACTTAAAATGTGCAAATTTCTTTTGACAGGTTGTATGCAAATAATTTTCTATACTTGCTTTGCGAAACTGGTGCAATCCTTTTCCTTTTGTCATAGGCTTTCCAAAAAGCTAAAAAATTTCAAAATTTGACAACTGAAAGTGGGTCAAAACAAAGATTTAGTTTGGAAAAGAAGTCATAAGGCAGTTTAGAAAAAGTCACAAAATCTCAACAGCCTCAGACCAATACTTTTTGGAGTTAAGTAGAACAATCTACTTTTTCCTATTCCATAATACGTGTCTTTATCCCCCACCCTACATGTATTCACATTGCTTGAGATTAAGGATAAACTTTAATTTTCATTTTATAAATATATCGAATATTGGAAATCATGACGTCAGAATATAATTAAATATCTATTTTTAAATTATTTCATGTTATCAGAATATAGAGATGTGGGGCGCTGAATGGGAAGGGACCAGGGGCCTCTATCTTTGTAGTTTTACCCCTCTCCACTGCAGTAGGGTAGGCAACGTTAGCACTTTTTAAAATCCTTTCACATTGGACACATCATACATGGCCAATTATGTTACGTTCATTTTCAACTATTTAGTGAACTCTAATTTAAGTCAATTAACGATTTAAAACTACACGGTATTACCTTCCACTGCATTATTTTTTGTTGTTTAAATTTTAAAAACGTTTTGATTCTGTTAAGTAGAAAAAACTTTTCTGATATTTTTTTCACCTTTTATTTTCTTTTAAACTAAATACATATATACGATAGATCATATATTTCAATAAGTGATTTTATGTTTGTAATATGTACCTATTATTATTAAGTTATTTATAAGTTATAGGGTTTCCACGAAAGGGCGATATTTTGTGCGCAAATTTTCTTCTATTTTGACGCAAAATATTTTGCGCGTATCATGTGGAACAGGTTTTGCGCGAAATTACGCGCAAAACCAGTTTATTTTGCGCGTTTATGCGCAAATAGAATAATTTTAACCCATAATTGGCAGAAATTGCTCAAATTGAAACTCTGATAAGTCAATAAATTGAGGATCCAAGAATAATTAACAAACTATAAATACTCATCAAGCCTAGATATATTAGAATAGATTGTTCATGTCGTCTTCACCATACCGGAGGGTAACAGTTGAAATTAAAAATGGCAATTTAGCTATGGACTAGCTACTGACATACAGTACATTGGATATAAAGGTTTACGGCAANTGAGGCCTAGTTTTTATTAAACTTCTTTAAATAAATTAGTAAAAAAAATACTCTACAGATTGACCCCGAGAAGTAAAACGTATTCAATGACCTCTTCAAATGACAAGTTCATGATGTACAAGGGGTTGTACAATTTTCAGCTTTACAGTCTGCATGAACAATCTATTCTAATTTATCTAGGGCATCAAGTGAACCCATGTTTCTAGCAAGTTATTAAAGTTGCTTTTAACAAAAACTTGCTCACCTTATAGCTATTATTTCTTGTTCTACCCCCTTCATCGTAGGAATATTCGGGGGTTCCAACAATATTTTCAAATTCTTAATTAACACAAAATTAATTAATAAAATGAAAATTCTGTTTGTTTAAAGGGAGTGACCGGCTATGTAAGGTAGTTGAACTGAGTATGCAGTGTTGTGGAAACCTTTCTTTCGGATTTTTTGAGACATATACAACTTTTTAAAGATCTGTAAATCCTGAGTTTGAGCGCAAATTCGATGCTGAAACTCCTACTTTGGGGGTGGATACGTTTTCAGATTTAGTTTTTTTTTAATTATTCAAAAACGACGACATAAAATGTAAAAAGTTCTACAATAAACTACAGACGTCATGTATAGGAATGTGTTGAGAAAATAAAAATTAATCTTATCATCGAAGATAAGCAATCTTGTTCAATTATTAGTTTCTATGTTCGCATTATTCTGGTTTCTTATTTTTCACAAAGATTTTCGACATTTAAAGAATTTGAAGAAATCTGCGAATACATTCAAAGAAAATTAGAAACTCAATATAATAATGAAAACGAAATAATCGATTTTAGCATTGATTAATTGACAAATTTCTTTTGTGAAATATGTTCCTAACCATCCAATTAGATTACTGCATAATTTTACTTTATTTTTCGTTGTCGTTATTTAATGATTTAAAAAAACTAAAGCGTATCCACCCCCAAAGTAGGAGTTTTGAACGTCGAATTTGGGCTCAAACTCAGGATTTACAGATCTTTAAAAAGTTTAATATGTCTCAAATTAATCCGAAAGAGAAGTTTTCCACAACACTGCATACTCAGTTCAACAACCTTACATTGCCGGACACTCCCTTTAATAAGTTTTAGACTGGATACTTTTTATAAAATTAAATTTAATTGAGTTTTTGCCCCAAACTGTAATTAAATAATAAACCTTTGCAACCTAAAAACCCTTGATATTTTAAACTTTCATTATTGAAGCTAACAGAAATCATAGTTTGAATTATCAATGGTCTACTAAATTTGGTTGCAAAGATATAGGAATTAGAAAACCAGAATTTGTTGCAAGAACTCTTTTAAGAATTCTGGTGAAAATTTTTGAAGAAGGAAGGAACGGGCGNGGAAACCAGAGGAAACCAGGGAAACTTGGTAAACCTGGGAAGCCTGGGAAACCTGGAAAATCTGAGAAACCGGGGAAACCGGGGAAACCGGGGAAACCGGGGAAACCGGGGAAACCGGAGGAAGTCAGGGGAAGCCAGGGAAAACGAGGAAACAAAATATATACATGTATTCCCTGATATGAGTCCTATTTTCTATGATTAGATCTCCACCACAAGTATCCAAGGTATCCAATGCTGGGACTGTCTAGAGATATTTAGTTTGTCAGAAAATCTAAAAATCTAAAAATTTCATGAAATTTGAAACCATTACTTTTCAACTCAATTGTCAACATATGAATGGAATGCAAGATCATATGAAAATATTTTTAGAGACCAATTATTTTTAAGTATTTCAATGTTTCTGTGGATTGCTAAAACTACCTCTGATAAATATTTTAAATTATTTAAATAAAGCCTTTAAAGGAATTGAGTTTATGGCACAAACTCTGATTTTTAACCCCTATATAGATCTTTGTGACCCGATGTCGTAGATCTTAGATATTTCAAACTATGAATTCTGTTTGATCAAATAGTTGTAGTTTGAAATATCAGAGGTTTACACCATCGAATTGCAAAGATATAGGGATTAGAACATTTGAATTTGTGGCTAAAACTCAATTCCTTTAAATATTTTAGACTCGTAACTTCAATAAAAAGTTCTTTTAACGAAATGAATAAAACATTAACT